CTGGATTACATTTCCTTGTCAATCAGGAATACCCAGCTGACAGCTGAATGGGGACATTGGGGATGACTGGCTAGTTGCTGCGGTACCACTAGCACTCCACTGGTCGGATGTTCCCAGCGCACGGAGTCTAAGCCCCAGGGTACTTGTTCACCAGGGCCCCTGATGGTGGGGATGGACTTGGAGTACCCCAGGACCAGGTCGTGACTACTGAGGACACCCGTCAGTGGTAGGGGTATTCGCCAGGGGCTCCCACGGGAGAGAGCCAGGTATGAGGAGGTCTGGAGACCCCGTAGAGAGGGACGGATGGATGGATGGCTGAGCAGGAGCAGGGTCATACAAGCCGGGTCGGTAACTATGGGGACGGTGCGGTACAGAGCAGCGGGCAGAGAATAGTCGGGTCACACGCCAGGTCAGCAACAGCAGGTCAGATCCAATAGGGGGCATTCAGGAGAGAGGTCAGGCAAGCAAGGGTCAAAACAGGAGAAAACAGCAAGGTCAGGGCACAATCCGGGTCAGCAACTTACTTCAGACAGGTTCACAGGTTCACAGGATACAAAAGACCAAAAGGCACTGAATGACAGCTCAGGGCCGTTTAAATATCCCGCCCTGCGCTGTCATTGGTGCCAGGCGCGCGCCCGCGGTCACTACTGCGCATGCGCGAACCTGATTGCCGCGGTCGGCCAAGTCCCGGCGCTCGCGTACAGGGAGGTGTACTGCGCCTGCGCCGGGACCAGCGGCGCGACGATCCCGACATTGCCCCCCCCCTACGGGCAACCTCCGGATGCCCACCCGATCTCTCCACCACGGGTGATCACGAAGAAACTCCCGGACTAGTCTAGGTGCGTGGACATTATGAGCCGGTTCCCAGGAATTGTCCTCAGGACCATAGCCCTTCCACTTAATTAGGAATTGGGTCTGGCCCCCCCCCCTTCTTCGGCACTTAAGGATCGTTTCCACCTCAAATTCCTCTTGTCCTTCGACCGTTATGGCCTCAGGGGGTCTGGATTCTCGTTCTGGGAAGGCATCTGGGATCACTGGCTTCAGCAGAGATACATGGAAAACTGGATGAATTCTGAACGTGGCCGGAAGGATCAGCTCATATGCCACTTCGTTGACCATCCGCTTTACCTGAAAAGGCCCCACAAATTTAGGTCCCAATTTTTTCGAGGGACAAAGCATCTTTAAGTTGGTTGTGGCCAACCACACCTTCTGCCCAGGCCGCAACGCCAAATCCCCTCTTCGTTTCTTGTTAAACTCCTTCTTATTGTCCTCTTGGGCCCGAGCGATGGCTTCCTGGAGTAATTTGTTATTGACGGAGAAGAAGGTCAACGCATCCTGCGTGGCTGGAACTGGGCATTCAGAGACCAAGTCAGGGAGAAAGACAGGGTGAAACCCATAATTCGAAAAGAATGGGGACTGCCCCGTTGCCGAATGGCTTGCGTTGTTATAAGCGAACTCCGCCAGGGGTAAAAAAAGAGACAGCCAATCATCCTGCAGGAAAGACGTGTAGCAACGCAAGTATTGCTCCAGGGTCTGGTTCGTCCTCTCGGTCTGACCGTTGGTCTGAGGGTGGAACGCGGAGGAGAGGGACAACTTGATGTCCAGGGCCTTGCACAGAGCCCTCCAAAACTTAGATGTAAACTGGACCCCTCGATCAGAGACGATGTCCTCGGGTACTCCATGAAGTCTAACGATCTCCCGGATAAATATTCGCGCCGTCTCGGTTGCTGACGGAGTCTTCCTTAGTGGCACGAAGTGAGCCATCTTGGATAGGCGATCAATAACCACCAGAATTGCTGTGTGGTCTTGTGACGGTGGGAGCTCGACTATGAAGTCCATCGCGATCTTCTGCCAAGGCCGTTCGGGAATCGGCAAAGGTCGCAACAGCCCCCAGGCTTTGCTCCTTGACGGTTTGCTCTTCTGGCAGATGGTACAGGATCTCACGTAGCGCTTGCAATCCTTAGCCATGTTTGGCCACCAAAACGAGCGCCGGAGAGAAGCTCCAGAGTCTTGACTGGGCCAAAGTGACCCGCCAGCGGGTGATCGTGGCAATGCCCCAAAACCAGGGTCCGGACTTCCTCAGGTACCACGATAGAATCCTCCTTCCACAGGAGTCCCCCTTTGTTCTGGAGGGATACCCCAACTGGGGTTGGTGTGGCCGTAGATGCTTCTATTAACTTGGAGCGAAGGTCCGTCTGGAGCGCCAAGAAGTTCCCTGAGGACAAGATAGTGTCGGGTACCAGTTCTTCTTCGGAGTCCTCAAACATACGAGATAGCGCGTCAGGCTTCGTATTTTTAGATCCGGGCCTGTAAGTAATATGAAAATTGAATCTGGAAAAGAACAGGGCCCATCTTGCCTGCCGTGGGCGTAGACGCTTGGCAGTCCTCAGATATTCCAGATTCTTGTGGTCTGTGAAAATCAATATAGGGTGTGAGGCACCTTCCAGCAGGTATCTCCATTCTTCTAGCGCTGCTTTGATAGCCAGCAGCTCTCGATCCCCGATATCGTAATTCTTCTCTGCTGGGGTGAGTTTCCTCGAGAAGAATGCTACGGGATGGAGTAACTCTTTGGTGCCTTTCCGCTGAGACAGGATGGATCCTACCGCATTCTCCGATGCATCTACCTCCAAGATGTAGGGCAGGGCCGCGTCCGGGTGGCCCAGGATGGGTGCCGAGGTAAACAGCTTTTTCAGAGCTTCGAAAGCTTTTTGAGCCTCTGGTGTCCATTTGAACCGGGTTCCAAGTTTGGTTAGTTGGGTAATGGGGGAGACCAGACCCGAGAAGTTTTTGATGAACTTCCGATAAAAGTTCGCGAACCCTATAAACCGTTGGACACCTTTTTTGTCCGTGGGTTCAGGCCAATCTAAAATTGCAGAGACCTTCTGGGGGTCCATCGCGACCCCCGCAGTGGAGATAATCAGGCCTAGAAACGTGATGCTAGATTGCTCAAAGCAACATTTCTCCGCCTTAGCATATAACCCATGCTGCCGCAATCGCCCCAAAACTTTTGCCACATGTATCCTATGATCCTCTAGAGAGGGTGAAAAAATTAGTATGTCGTCCAAGTAGACGATAACGAAGACATCCAAAAAATCCCTGAAGATGTCGTTCACAAAGTGTTGGAAGGTGGCTGGTGCATTGCACAGCCCAAATGGCATGACCAAGTATTCAAAGTGGCCAAACCGGGTACGGAAAGCAGTTTTCCACTCGTCCCCCTCTCTTATGCGTACCAGGTTATAGGCCCCCCTTAAATCAAGCTTTGTGAAAAATAGCCGCAGCCTTTAGGCTCTGAAACAGTTCTGGTACCAATGGCAATGGGTAACGATTTTTTATCGTGACCCTGTTCAGCTCCCGGTAGTCAATACAAGGTCTCAGGGTTTTGTCTTTTTTCTCCACGAAGAAGATTCCCGCTCCTGCTGGAGAAGTGGAGGGGCGGATGAATCCCTTCTGGAGGCTGTCCTCGATATATTCCTTCAGGGCCCCCAATTCAAGCTCAGATAGGGGGAAAATACGCCCAAAAGGGATTTCAGAGCCTGGTAACAGGTCGATTGGACAGTCATACGGGCGGTGGGGGGGGGGGCAGAGTGTCGGCTCCCCGCTTACTGAACACATCCAGGAACCCATGATAGGCTGCGGGAATAACCTGTTTCAAGTCGGAGTCTCCTTCGGAGCAAAGGAGAACTCGGGGCCCCGCGGGGCCCGAAGTGCGACAATGTTCCCGACAGTATGGGGAAGGGAACGAGATTGACCCGGTCTCCCAGTCAATCTGGGGGTTATGGGCCCGTAACCATGGGAGCCCCAGAATGACTGGGAAAAGAGGTGATGCAATAGCGTCCAGGCGGAGGAACTCCTGGTGCTGGTTGGCAATGATAGTGGCAATGGGGGGAGTTTCCTGATTAACTACCCCCGATTTTATCTGGGAACCATCAGCCAAAAAGATGTTGAAGCCCTTCTGTCTGTGTTGGAGAGGGATACCCTGTTGGTGAGCAAACTCTAGATCCAGGAAACAGCTGCATGCCCCCGAATCAACTATGGCTGTCACCTCCACGATCTTTCCTGGAAGCTGAAAGGAGAGGGGCACTACTAAGTATTGCGAAGGACAGGTATTGCTAATAGACAAGGAAGAAAAACGGGTGCACTTACTCATTTTTTGAGGGCAGGATCGCACCATATGACCAGCTTCACCGCAGTAAAGGCAGAGGTTCTGGGCTCGTCTGCGCTGGCGTTCCTCCGGTGATAATTTAGGCCGTGCCAGACCTAGCTGCATAGGTTCCGGAACATCTCCTGGTGGTGGGTTCTGGATGCTTTGTCGGGGGTTGGTGGGCTGGGGCCTAGGAATGGACCCCAGGGTATTTCCGCGACCCTGGCCGGACCTCTCAAGCCTGCGTTCCCGCAGTCTTCGGTCAATCTTAATTGTCAGGGCAATAAGGTCTTCTAGAGACTCGGGAACCTCCACCCGGGCCAGCTCATCTTTCAAGGGATCGGAGAGTCCCATACGGAACTGGTGCAATAGAGCGAACTCATTCCAGCGTGTGTCCCCCATCCACCGCCTGAAATCAGAGGCGTATTCCTCTGCCGCCCGCCGGCCCTGTCGGAGCGCATATAAGGTCGCTTCGGCAGAGGCTGCCCGCTGTGGGTCATCATACAAGATGGCCATTGCTTCAAAGAAACTATTGACCGATCCCAGGTGAGGATCATTGTTTCCCCTTAGCCGGTGGGCCCAATCCTGGGGTTCACCCTGTAGTAGTGAAATAATGAATCCTACCTTCACGTTTTCGGTCAGGAAGGTACGGGGTTGTAGCTCAAAGAACAAGAGACAGGAGTCGCGGAATGACCGGAAGCGTGTGCGGTCCCCGTGAAAACGCTCCGGTAGGGGTACTCGGGGTTCTACCATAGGGAGCGGGGCGGAAGCCCCTGAGACTGGCTCCTGAGCTACCAGGGCCGGGGGTGCAGAAACCGGGGCCTGTGGGGCAGGATCAGAAATAGAGCCAGTCTGGATGCGATTCTCCAGCTGCATGCATCTGTCCTGCAGGACCGTTACGGCCTGCGTCAAATTAGCTAGGTGCCTGCAAATTTCCTCTAACGGGGAGGGCCCTCCTCTAGGCTCAGTCATGGCCTTTTGGTACTGTAAGGGACCGCCCGGCGGTACCACTAGCACTCCACTGGTCGGATGTTCCCAGCGCACGGAGTCTAAGCCCCAGGGTACTTGTTCACCAGGGCCCCTGATGGTGGGGATGGACTTGGAGTACCCCAGGACCAGGTCGTGACTACTGAGGACACCCGTCAGTGGTAGGGGTATTCGCCAGGGGCTCCCACGGGAGAGAGCCAGGTATGAGGAGGTCTGGAGACCCCGTAGAGAGGGACGGATGGATGGATGGATGGATGGATGGCTGAGCAGGAGCAGGGTCATACAAGCCGGGTCGGTAACTATGGGGACGGTGCGGTACAGAGCAGCGGGCAGAGAATAGTCGGGTCACACGCCAGGTCAGCAACAGCAGGTCAGATCCAATAGGGGGCATTCAGGAGAGAGGTCAGGCAAGCAAGGGTCAAAACAGGAGAAAACAGCAAGGTCAGGGCACAATCCGGGTCAGCAACTTACTTCAGACAGGTTCACAGTTTCACAGGTTCACAGGATACAAAAGACCAAAAGGCACTGAATGACAGCTCATGGCCTTTTAAATATCCCGCCCTGCGCTGTCATTGGTGCCAGGCGCGCCGCGGTCACTACTGCGCATGCTAACCTGATTGCCGCGGTCGGCCAAGTCCCGGCGCTCGCGTACAGGGGAGTGTAAGCCTGCGCCGGGACCAGCGGCGCGACGATCCCCGACAAATGCTGTTGCTAAATGTTTCACTTTTTGTTGTGGATGCAGATTTGCCAAACTCTTGAACAAGCAAGGTTAGTTCTAAAATCATCATCTGAACTGAGAACTCATCCTTACTACCTACAATTTCAGCAACATGAATCAATATCCTCTTTAGAATGATAACACAGAGACAATAGACATGAGAGTGTATCTTTACTGATGCAATGACTCTGCAGCACAGGTTGAGGAGCACATCTCAGTAGCAATAAGGACAAATCTCAAACTAAGGCAATTCTAAACACTTATGTCAAGTATAATAGTCCTTGCAGAGCTTTGGATACTAAAAGCCAAATTCTAGGCTCAGCTCGACACCCCCTACTTGCCTCCTTACCCCTAGAAGCCCCCTATGCTGTAGGTTTTGCTGCTTTTTTTTTTGTACTAGTGTAGGCAGGTGCAGTCTATTTTCTCTACTGCAGGTGGTGCTTGTTTCCAGCAGCAATACAGGTGGAGGAGGAAGTCAGGAGGAACCTAATTTCCTTGGTCACAAGGATACAGCTATCCAATTGGTGTCCTATGTGACTTTGACATCCATTTTGGGTCAGGCAGAGTCTATTAAGATCCTGGATCCCAGGTTTAGCATGCATTTTTGCGAGTGGCAGTGTAGGGACATTATACCTGTCCATTAGGACAGAGCTTAGAGTCAGGAAAAGGTTCTGGAGGAGTAGAGAAAATGCAGGGTTTATCCTTCCATCCTTCCTCAAAACCTTACTATTTGGGTGTGGACAAGCCAGGCCACATTCTGCCCCTCGAAACAGATAAGTCAGCACCCCTGAATCTTCATTCTACTGTGCATCACTGCCATAACATGTGGTGTTCCTGGTTGGGTTGCCTTCCCACCAGGTCTGTTATGTGTTACTGGACTTTTGTAACAATATATTACTGTTACTGCACTTGGACTCCATGGGGTGTATTTACTAAAGCTGGAGAGTCCAAAATCAGACTCCCTTCTGCATAGAAACCAATCAGCTTCCAGGTTTCATTGCCAAAGCTTCATTGAACAAGCTGAGGTTAGAAGCTGATTGGTTTCTATGCAGAAGGGAGTCTGATTTTGGACTCTCCAGCTTTAGTAAATAAACCCCCATGTGTTTTTTTGCCACTTCAACACGCTGCACCTACCCACACCTTACCCTTTTCAGATGTCTTTAGACAGGTCATGTGACATGCTGAGTATTCTTCCTCTTCACCTCCTCTTGAACTTGGGGTGGTCCTCTCCTGATGCAGAGAGTGGCGCTGATGTGATCATATCAGCAACTTTCTCTGCTTTAATAAAATGCAAATGAAGGGCACAGTGGTGAAGTCCCTTAGGAGGCTGGTCAATTGCACCCTGCAATTATTGTATGTCCTCAAGCCTTCTGAGTTGAATGCTGTGTGTCATTAAACCTGAAAGATTGACATCCTCAGGCAAAGAAAAAGTACAGGAAGAAAAGTCAGCCGCACACTGGAGGATTGATGAATATAGTGTATATTTATTGATCCATAGGACACACAAAACACCAGGACATGAATACAGGACCTCTTAACGCGTTTCACATAATCTCGTACTTAATCATCATCTTGGTTATGATTAAGCACAAGATCATGTGAACGCGTTAACAGGTCCTGTATTCATGTCCTGGTGTTTTGAGTGTCCTATGGATCATAATAAATACACACTATATTCATCAATCTTCAGGTGTGCGGCTGACCCTTCTTCCTGTTGCATCATATGTGGTGGCGAGCCAGAGCCTGCACCTGTCATGGATTGATCTGGATGTTTTGCCTAGGCGGTATACCTCTGCTCTTTGGATTCAAAGAAAAAAGTACTCTAGGGGACAGCTCTGGATTGAAGGTGAGTATTACAGTTTGAGCTGCTTTTTTATTACCCTGCCTAGGGTGCCATTTTAATTAAAAGTGTATCTGAAGCCAAATATTTTTTAGGTTTTGTTTGGATAAAGTAGGAAAAGCTTCGAACCTCTCCCAGGTTTTTGTTGCTGTCTGCTATGACGATCAACTCTCTCTTTGCATCCTAATAACCACTGTTACCAGGACTGAAAGTATGAAAATATTCAAATATTTAAGATGTCCCTGGAACAAGAATAGATAGGAACTTTTCCAATGCATACAATAGTTCCAGAACTGTCTAACAGAAGATTTCCCTTCCTTTGAAGAGCTCTCCTCTCACTTTTTGTTGTGTTTCAGGACAGGAATTGAAAGAAAATATCCACCAAAGGGACACACACAGAAAAACAAAAGAAAGGTATGACATCTCAGCAACATGGATACTAAAAGGTTAAAGAATGACTTTTAGCTTGTGCAGTAAAAATCTGAAGAAAGTTGGATTTCTCAAAATTCTATCTGTTTGAAGTGCCTCTGCACATAAAGCAAATCATAAGTGATGTGGATAGAAGCTGGGGAAATCTGTACAAAATTAGAATGATTTGATATTGTGAGAAAAACAGACTAATTGCATCAGACAATGAGTGATTTGTCGGAACTCCCGAGACTATTTTTGCTCATTAGCATATACTTGGCATGTGCTGGGCTGCCTACTATCAGTTCTCCATGCTCTTGCTGTTGAAGTGTTCATCATCAAAACCATGAATTCATAAAGAGTCTGTGACTCCTGGGACTTGGAGCTTTTCCCCAACCAAAAGTATTGCCCCCTGGGAGATCACAGTCTAAGCAAGAAAGGCTACAGCATGATAAATGAACTGTTTACTGCTTGTCTCATTGTTGTCTTTTAAAATTATTAATTGGATTTATTTTTGTAACAGCCTCAGTGAAATTAGATAATGAGACAAGTAAATCAAAAGTCAGGAGCAGCTTCAAATGTGCATTTTACTAGTGCCCCCCAGGGTCACTTTAAGACAGACATGGGTCCAGAGCCAAGTTCATTTATATTGGCCTTCGCTGCCCTGGGTAAACAAGATATAGCCTGGCATCACACCCATGTCTCGCAGTAACATGTGGTAAAATGCACGTTTCATTACACTTTGCTGCAATGCGCGGTAATGCACGACACTATATGTGGTGCCCTTTATTTATAATTATGTCCCCAATGCACAACTACATTAATTACCTGCACTACAGGGCACCAAAACATACACATACTACATCAAAAAAAGTTGCAGGTTCTGCTTTTTGTCTGTTGCCATGCATTGGCACGCTTTTCAAAATGAATGGGCTGCCATAATGCAATGTACGTTGACGCGCACTTTAACATAAATGCAGTAATGCATGTATGAGTGCAGCCACATCATGTCTAAAAAATGCTTTACCAGCGAGGAGGCATTTCCAATCCTCAGTATGATGAACCAGTGTAAAGCTCTCTCTGTCTGATTCTGATTACAAACCAGTGGGTCTGTAACAGAATCATAGGAGGAGGAGAGGGTGCCCGCTAAATGAAGGCATTCTGGCAAGGAGCAGGAAACCACCAGTAGTGCAGTGTCAACCACCAGTACAGCAGTAACTCTGCATGAAAGGTCAAGTACTAGTGGGGTGTCACGTCAGCCACAAAGGGTTAGGGCCCATAGCAATCTCCCAGATTCACTTAAATCAGAATCAGCTAAAATCCCCCTTTTCACTATACAACCAGGTGTTCAAGCCAACACATAAAATTTAGCATCAATTGATTTTCTAACTTATATTTCACTGATTATTTATTACATTTAATTGTGGACCAGTGCAATGTTTATGCCCAGCAATATATCAACAATAACCCAAATTCAAGTTATGCTTGACAGTTTAAATGGAAAGTAATACCAGTGGAGGAATTCAAAACCATTTTGGGCCTCACACTTAACATGGGATTTACAAAAACAAAAAAATTAAGTACACACTTACTGGTCCACTCACCCCTTTCATCACATGCCCATTTATTCATCAGTTATGCCAAGAATGGGATATGAAATGGTCATGCGGTTCCTCCATTTCAGCTTTAATATGCAGTGCCCTCCCTAAAATGACCCTGTATATGATAAACTTTATAAAATTTGCTCACTACCTAATTTTTTCTCGAAGACATTTTTCTAGTTGTATATCCCGGACAAACAATTGTGGATGAGTCGCTTGTCCATTTCACTAGCAGGCTCCACGGAAGGAATGGCCCAGTCCAAAAACCCAAATGAGTACAATATGTTCATGGGGGGGGTCGATTATACTGATTAAATGATACAGCCCTATCTAGCAACAAGGAGAACCCAACACTGGTACAGTCTCCATTTACTTCTCTAATTTGGCAATTTATCATTTCTATGTTGTCTATTTCTATATTGTCTATCATAAATCCACTGAAAGACCCAGATCCTTTCTTAGACATCAGGAAGATATTGTCACTGCCCTTGTGTACTTGGAAGGCATTCCACCAGAAAACATTTGCTCAGATGCAGTGAGCAGACTCCACCCAAGGCCTTTTAGCAGATAAAAAGGTAAAATTCGAAAAATTTGAATATCGTGCAAAAGTTCATTTGTTTCAGTAATGCAACTTAAAAGGTGAAACTAATATATGAGATAGACTCATTACATGCAAAGCAAGATAGTTCAAGCCGTGATTTGTCATAATTGTGATGATTATGGCTTACAGCTCATGAAAACCCCAAATCCACAATCTCAGAAAATTAGAATATTGTGAAAAGGTGCAATATTCTAGGCTCAAAGTGTCCCACTCTAATCAGCTA